TCGAAACTTGATCCTCAAACGACGGTCCGCATTCTTCCCCCCTGAATTTCGGAGGACGTCAGCTGACCACCTCAGCGATCCCGCCATCTCTCCTCTGATGGGCCCGCACCTAATGCCACCCCAGCGAAGGGTCAATCTTGCGCGCAGTCACATAATTCCCCAAGCAAATCGGTCGCGACGGACGCCAGAACTTGAAATAAAATCGGCAGCGACCGATCTCGTCGGTCGCAACCAAAAACTTCCAACCCCCGATGATCAGGCTCTCTCCTCCTCCTCCTCCTCCTCCTCCTCCTCCTCCTCCTCTCCTCCTCCTCCTCCTCCTCCTCTTACTCCTCCTCCTCCTCCTCCTCCTCCTCCTCCTCCTCCTCCTCCTCCTCATCATCATCATCATCATCATCATCATCATCATCATCATCATCATCATCATCATCCCCATCCTCCTCCCCCTCCTCCTCCTCCTCCATTTCTGTTCCTTCTACAAAACTCCTCCCTGTCGCGCCCCGGAGCTTGCTGGTAGGGCGGGCAAGGCGTTTCGCCTGAGACCCCTCACCAATCATGATCGTGAAGCTGAAAATTTACAAGAGCTTCACGGATGGAGGGCGGGTAGTGTTCAAGATGTGGCTCTCGCGTGAGCGCCGCACACATTCGCTTTAGAAGTTTGCAAGAGCTGCACGGATGGAGGGCGGACCGATTTTGAAATAAGGCTCTCGCCATGGCACCGCGCATATTGTTTGAACGAGTTTATATATATATATATATAAAAAATCACGGATGGAGGGCGGATCGCTTGAAAACAAAGCTATCGCCTTAGCGCCGCGCGCATTCGTTTAGAAGTTTACAAGAGCTTCACGGATGGAGGGCGGCTCCTTTCCAAGATGTGGCTCTCGCCTCAGCGCCGCGCGCATTCGTTTTGAACGTAAGCAAGGGATTAACAGGTGGATGGCAGGTGGTTTTCAAATGCGGCTCTCGCCTAGGCGCCGCGGTCATTCGTTTTAAGAGTTCATCACAGTTTCAAGGGTTATCATGTTTAAAGTCCCAGAGCTGATGTTTTGGCACGATGCCAGATTTTCAGGGCGCCACAATCTCGTCGACTCGCGGTATTGAAATTCCAATAATGGTGTTCTGGCGCGGACCAGGATCGCCAAGGCGCAACAGTAACGTTGATGCGCAGCATTGGAATCCAAGGAACGGTGCTTGGGCATGATTCAAGAGCTTCAGACAGTTGTCTTCCAACGGGACACTTCCCTATGAAAAATAATAATAAAAAAATCCTTGAAGGGACCTGTGAAGAGGGAACTTGGAGCGAGGGTTCATTGCAGCATCGTGGGCGTCTTGCGTTTGCACTGGTCCTCCTCCTCCTCCTCCTCCTCCACCCCTTTACCTGATACAAAAATCCTCCTTGTCGCACCCCGGGGGAGGGGGGGGCGTAGGGCGGGCCAGGCGTTTGGTTTGAGACTTCCCCACAATTCAGGATCCGTAAGCTCAAAATATGCAGCAGTTGCGCTGATGGAGAGCGACTGGTTGTCAAACTGTGGCTATTGTCTTAGCGCCGCACACATTCGTTGCAGAAGTTCGCAAGAGCTTCACGGATTGAGGGAGGGTGGTTTTCAACATGTGGCTCTCGCCTTAACGCCACGTATATTCGTCTTCAACGTTTGCAATAGTTGCACGGATGGAGGGCAGGTAGTTTTCAAGATGCGGCTCTCGCGTTAGCTCCGCGAATACTCGTCTCATACATCTACAATGAGTTCCACGTAGGAGGGCGGCTCCTTTCCAACATGTGGCTCTCGCCTTGGCACCGCGCACACTCGCTTCAGACGCTTGCAAGAGCTTCGCGGATGGAGGGCGGCTCCTTTTCAAAATGTGGCTCTCGCCTTGGCGATTCAAGAGTTTAAAGCAGTTTCAAGGATTCTTCCAGTTGACGTCCCAGAAATGGTGTTGGCACGATGTAGGACTGTCAGGGCACACCTCTGTCATATTGATTCGCGGTGTTCAACGGCTCAAGATGGCACGACTCAATATCGTCACAATGCAACAGTAAGGTTGATTCGCGGCGATGGATGCCCCAAGAACTCTGTTTTGGAATGATTCAAGGTTTTCAGACGGATGTTTTCCAACGGGAGGAACTTCCGTCAATGAAAATCAATCCTGGTAGGGACCTATGAAGTGGGAACTTGGAGGGAGGATTCATTGCAACATCGTTGGTGAGTCTTGCGTTTGCACTGATCCTCCTCCGCCTCCTCATTCATTATTCATCCATTCATCCATGCATTCCTTCATTCATGCATGCATGAAGGGCAAGACTGGTGAGGCCCGAACTAGAGAAACGAAGCGACATGAAACTGACCAGCACGCGCGCACTGCACAGCACCGATGCCTGGCCTGGACAACCCCACATCACTGCAGCCAGCCCGAGCCGCCGCACCTGCCCTGCCGCCCACAGTCCTCCTCCTCCTCCTCCCTCCTCCTCCTCCTCCTCCTCCTCCTCCTCCTCCTCCTCCTCCTCCTCCTCCTCCTCCTCCTCCTCCTCCTCCCTCCTCCTCCTCCTCCCCTCCTCTCCTCTTCCTCCTCCTCCTCTCCTCCTCCCCCTCCTCCTCCTCCTCCTCCTCCTCCCTCCTCCTCCTCCTCCTCCTCTCTCCTCCTCCTCCTCCTCCTCCTCCCCTCCTCCTCCTCCTCCTCCTCCTCCTCCTCCTCCTCCCTCCTCCTCCTCCTCCTCTCCTCCTCCTCCTCCTCCTCCTCCTCCTCCTCCTCCTCCTCCTCCTCCTCCTCCTCCCTCCTCCTCCTCCTCCTCCTCCTCCTCCTCCTCCTCCTCCTCCTCCTCCTCCTCCCCCTCCTCCTCCTCCTCCTCCTCCTCCTCCCTCCCTCCTCCTCCTCCTCCTCCTCCTCCTCCTCCTCCTCCTCCTCCCCCTCCCCCTGGCACCCGCTGATCAGAGGGCTCGTCGGGCCCCGAGCCCCGCCCCGAGGGCACCGCAGCGGCTCCTCCACCGCGGCGGCCCCTCCCTCGGCCGCCGCGGCCGCGGCGGCGGGCAGCAGTGCGGGGGCCGGCACACAGGGCAGGGCCAGCGCGCCACAGGCGTCCCGCCGCCTCGACCGCCGGGCGGCAGTCGGCGTCGGCGCCGACGTCGACGTTGGCGTCGACGTCGACGTCGGCGTCGGCATCGGCGTCGACGATGGCTCAGACGTCGGCGTCGACGCCAGCGTCGACGACGGCCCAGGCAAAAAATCGCGCCGTGGCACAAACATCGCGACTGAAAGCTTTTGCTATGTTCGGCCTCGGGGGGTCCTCGCCAGGCCCCGGGACCGCCAAAACACGACTCAGGATGAAAAGACGGTTCCAGGGAATGGGTCGAGAGACCTCCGGGGCCGCGCGGCGTCGGCGTCGGCATCGGCGTCGGCCTCGACGACGTCAGCGTCGTCGTCGTCGTCGCCGCCGTCTCATGAGATCCTGGCGCCGCGATTTGTTCACAGCGGGCGACGATTCTGTCTTGTTCCTGGCCCGGGGACCCTCACAGATCGATCCAGTAAGGAAAATGCCGCATCAAGATTGGGTCTACGGCTCGGGTCGAGATGTCTTACAATGTTCGTGGCGTCGGAGCTAAGGGAATGCTATCACGGTCGACGTCGACGACGCGTCGACGCCGACGTCGGCGTTCTTCGTCGTTCGACATCCGGCGTGTTGAAAAAAGATACAAGACGAAAATAGTTGGCCGTTTGCGGCACCAGGAGGGGCTCGGGGCCGTCAGAGAACGATCCAGGACGAAAAACAGGGCCCCGGGAAGTGGTCACAGTTCGTGGTCACATTCCTTACGATACCCCTTACATAGATATAGATATGTATGCATCTGGCGTAGGATAAAGCAGTTGCGAGCATCGTCTTCGGTGGAGCTCCCTTTGGAGCCACGAAGCGTCTGAGGGTTGTGTCGAAATGGTTTCGGGGACCGCATGTGAGCACTGCCACTGGGGCCTTCGGTGGAGCTCCTTATGGTGCCACGAAGCGTCTAAAGGGTGTACCGAAATCGGCGAGGACGCATGCAATCTGGGCCACTGGGACCTTCGGTGGAGCTCCTCATGGAGCCACCACGAAACGCGTAAGCGATGTACCGAAACCTGTGACGGGGATGCATGCGAACTGCGCCACTGGGACCTTCGGTGGAGCTCCCTACGGGGCCATGAAGAACTGTTCTAGGTTGGGGAGCGCAGGCGAACTGCGCCACTGGGACCTTCGGTGGAGCTCCCCATGGGGCTCTGAGGGGTGTGCCAACATGGGTGGCGGGGACGCATGCGAACTGCGCCACTTTGACCTTCGGTGGAGCTCCCTATGGGGCCACGAAGCGTGTGAGGCGTGTGCCGACATGGGTGGCGGGGACGCATGCGAACTGCGCCACTGGGACCTCGGTAGAGCTCCCTATGGGGCCACCACGAAACATGGAAGGGGTGTACCGAAACCTGTGGCGGGGACGCATGCGATCTGCGCCACTGGGACCGTCGTGGGGTTCCAAATGGAGCCACGAAACGTGTGAGGCGTGTGCCGAACGCATGCGAGCGGCTCCACTGGGATCTTGAGTGGAGCTCCCCATGGGGCCGCGAAACGATTGAGGGGTGTATTGGAATGGGTGGCGGGGACGCGTAAGAACTGCGCCGCTCGGTCCTTCGGAGGCGCACCCTATGCGGCCACAAAGCGTGTGAGGCGTGTGCTGACATAAGTGCGGGACCCCATGCGAACTGCGCCACTGGTGGGGTTCCAAATGGGGCCACGAAACGTGTGAGGCGTGTGTCGAAATGGGTGGCGGGGGCGCTTGCGAACTGCCCCACGGTAACATTCGGTGAAACTTCCTATAGGGCCACAGAACGTGTAAGGCGTGTGTCGGAAAAGGTAGCGTGACCACATGCGAACTGCGCCACTGGGACCTCCGGTGGAGCTCCCGATTGGGGCCACGACGCGTTTGAGGAGTGTGCCGAATTGGGTGCGGGACCGCATGCGAACTGCCCCACCGGGGTCTCTAGTACCGGAGTTCCCTTATGGGGCCGCGGCCACGAAGCTTCTAAAGGGTGTGCCGAAATGGTTGCGGGGACCGCATGCGAACTGCGCCACTGGAGCATTCGGTGAGCTCCCTATGGGGCCACGACGTGTATGAGGGGTGAGCCGAATTGGGTGCAGGACCGCATGCGAACTGCCCCACTGGGATATTCGCTGGCGCTCCCTATGGGGCCAGGAAACATGTGAGGGTGTGCCGAAGTGGGTGAGAACTGCGCCATAGGGACCTTCGGTGAGACTTTGTATGGGGCCACATTCGCGCGAGGGGTGTGCCGAAATGGGTGCAGGACCGCATGCGAACTGCGTCACTGGAACCTTCGGTGGAGCTCCATATGAGACCAAGAAACGTATGAGGCGTGTGCCGACATGGGTGGCGCGGGGACGCATGCGAACTGAGCCTCTTTGACCTTCGATCAAGCTCCCTATGTGGCCACGAAACGTATGAGCGGTGTGCCGAAATCTGACGGGTCCAGAGGACACAGAAAGGGGTGGGAGGAGGGAGGGGGGGAGGAGAAGAGGAGGACGCGAGGCTGTTTTTTCAAAACGAGGAGCCAACACAACAGGATGGTTGGCAAGACTAAATAACATCAGAGATCTGGGGACGTCGACGTCGCTGACGTCGACGATGGCGTCGTCGTCGACGACGTCGTTCGTCGCTTGTCGTCGTCGCCGCCTCGGCGCCGCGCGCGGCCGCGGCCGCGCAGTCATCGACGTCGACGACCGTTGGTCGACGTTCGTCGCTGGTGGTTCGCCTGCGTCGTTGTTGTCGACGGCCCCAAAGAGGTTCGCCGGCGGCCACGTCCTCGTCGTGGCGTCGTGACGTCGTGGTCGTCGTCGAGGTTCGCCGTCGTCCTTTGGACATCTTCGGGCCTTTGGGAAGCTTCTCGTCGCCACGGCTGGATTCCCACCGAAATGCTGCTGGGCCGGAACGCACCCTGAGAGAGGTCCCGGCGTCGTCGTCGTCGAGGTTCGAGGATCGAGGTTCGAGGCTCGAGGTTCGAGGTTCGGGCCTGTTTGACGGTTGATCCTCTGCTCGGGACTCCAGGCCCCTGGGGACATGAAGGGACTCCCGGAAACCTCGAGCAATCTCAGGAGGCCGAGGGCTTTTCGTCGGCGTAGTCGTCCTCGTCGTCGTCCTCGTCATCCTCGCCGTCTCCGACGCCACCCTCGCCGCCACCCATCTCGGAGGACCAGCTGAGGCAACGGCCGCCCTCCCGCCCAGCCCAGATCCGCTCCAGGAGCGTTGAGCAGGGACCGACCGTATTGGCACTCCTGTAGGCCCACCGCGACATGTTCTTAGAACCCAAAAGGTACTCTGAGAACAAAAACGATGGTCGTGGAGCATCAACCCGCTGTGCTAAAAAACAAGACGGTCTCACCCAGAAAGGGGCTAAGAAACCTCTCGCGCAGACCACAGAAAAAAAAGGCTCTCAGAACATTCCCTGGGGGGGCCTTCTGGCCGAGCCATGGCGCTTCGCCGTTGCTCGAGCGCGGTCCCCCGGGGCCTCGCCCGGGACCCGTGCGCGCCCGCTCTCTCCGAGGCGGGCCCAGCCGTCGCGGCGAGGAGCCGGCGCAGGACGCCGACGCCGCCCGCGGGAGGGCCGCCGCTGCCTCGACCCGCCCCCCCACTCGCGGCCCTGCGCCTCGGAGCCGCGCTGCGCGGGGCGGCCACGAAGGCGGCCGGAGCGGCGCAGAGACCTGAGAAGGGCCAGGGGGAACGTTAGGGGGGAAGGGTAAAGGGGGAAGGGTCAAGGTAGCCAGCTCGAGCGAGCCAGGGGGGCTTCGTCCACTCCCACCCGCCCTCCCACGACATAAAAAAAAGTGCGTCGCGCCCGACGCCTGTCGTTCATCTTATATCGCGGGCGGCTATACGTTCGGCGCGCGACATGAGCTGCGTCCTACTCCTGCCGCGCATTGAGCAACGTCGACGAGAATCAAAAACGCGCGCGATGTATGCCGCGCCCCGCTCCGGCCTCTCATGTTGCATCGTCGGCGACAACATGTCCAGCGAGCGAAATGCGCCGCGTCTCATTCCAGCCACGCGCGTTGCACCGCCAATCGTTTCGCTCCTGCCGCGCATGTAGGAAGGGGAGGAGGCCCAGCAGTCCCGCCATGAACGCGCTCGGACAATTCGCCGCCGGCGCCGCGGCAGCCGACAACGGCCGCGACGCTACAACGTCGCCGACGCGTAAGGGTGACTTTTCGCCGGGGTGACCTTTTGTGCGCTGCTTTTTGGCCCTCGGGGGGAGCCCTCCTTGCCGCGGCCGGAAGGGTCTGGGGGTCGACTTTTATTTGAGTTTTGCGCATCAGAGGTCACTGGTGTCAAGGGTCTCTCTTACGTGGACACGACAACGGGCGCGCCAGCGGCGAACCGCACCTGCTTGAGGCATTATGACTTGCCGCCCGCCCAACTCCTCAACCCGACGGGCCGCAGCGTCGACGACAAGAAAGTCCATGTTGACGAGCAGGCGACCCCGCGCGATGTGCGCCGCGTCCCATTCCCGCTACGCGATTTGCAGCGCCGACGAGGAGAAAGTACATGTTGGCAAGAAAGACGTCGACGTTGCTGTGCTTCTTGGCAGGTAGGACGGGGGGGTCCCGCGTAGGGTTGGCCAGGCGTCCGCGCGCGATGCGCGACGCGTCCCATTCCTGCTACATGTTCGCAGCGTCGACGACAAGAAAGTCCATGTTGACAAGCAAAACGTTGACTTTGTATGTTTTTTGGTAGGACGCGACCACCCGCTTAGGGTTACCCAGGCGATGTTCATTCCGTCCTATTCCTGCTCCACTTTTCGCAACTCGACGACATTTTGGCGAGACAAAAATGGAGTTTTTGTTTTTTGAAAGTTAGGGCGGCGGAGTTGCCATCGGCCGGCTAGGTGGGGATGTGAGGGTGTTTAATCATACGAAGTAAGGATCAGGGGGGAATACATAATGCTCCTGGGCGGGGAGAGCCATCAGGCCAACATGGGCGATCAATGGGCGACACGGGGTCGCCGCGTCCCTGCTGAGCCAGTCCCATACCAGATCCTGTTGTTTTTACAATTTGCGGTAACGCTCATGACCGGCCCCCGCCCCCCCCCCAGCCCCCCTGGTCACGTCACGATTCGCGCCGGCGCCGTCTGGGAATGAGCCTGTCCTTTGCATTCCCAGACGGCGCCGGCGCGAATCGTGACCTGACCAGACCCTTCACCCTCCCTGGTCACGCCGAGTACTAAGATCACCGCTGGGGTTGTTAAGCGGATAGGGGCTTAGAAGTGGATGCTAAGGTGGGCGATATCCTTCCTAACCTAGATTGCATGTGAGCTACAAGTGCCCTAGCTGGTTTAAGAGGGTACAGACCTGATCTCAATGGGCTCCGCCTGCTCCGCGGAGTTACCTAACCCCCCTGAACTAATCAGGGCACTCGTAACCCACCCACAGGCAAGCCTCGGCCAGGCACTGCCAACCTTGACACTCACCTCTGACCCCAGCGTCTTAATCGGCACTCCAGCTGTCCAGACGTCGCTGGTTATCCCCTTATAGAGGCCTCCTAGATGGGGTCCGAGTAGATGGGGTCGGAGGATGGTGCCGCATCGACGATACATCGACGATGCATCGGCGATGCATCGGCGATGCATCGGCGATGCACCAGCGATGCATCGTCGACGTCAGCGATGAATCGGCGACGTCGACGTGAAGCAAATCGGGCTCCACATCCAGCCGCATCGGTGATGCATCGGCGATGCGGCGCGCTCCTTCGACCCCATCTACTCCGGCCCCATCTAGGAGGCCTAGACCTTAGCAGCCCCAACGCCTTCCGACGTTGTCCCCGAAGGCCTCCCAGAGAGGCGGCCAGGCGCGCGCCCGGCGCACGCCGCCGGGCGCGGCGGCGGCCCGCGCACGGGGGGCGCTCGGCGGGCACCATGGGCCGCGGGCGCGCGCGGGCCGGCGGACGCACTGGCCAGGCGCGCGCGGGCCGGCGCGCCAGCCTGGGCACTCGCAGGGCCTCGCGGGCGGCGGCGGCGGTGGCGGCGGCCAGCGGCGGCCAGCGGTGCCCGTCGGCCGCTGCTTTCGCGTCTCGGCGCGAGGCGCGAGGCCGCTGGCGCGACCAACACTACAGTAAACTTTCTGGAGCGATGCCGGACTGCGTACGAGCTGCTGCCCAGAGAGACCCAAGGGCTGGAAGACCAGGCAGTCTACAAGCTTTCTTCCGAGTTGAACCGGGCGAAACATCTACTCGAAGAAATCGAAACTCTGGCCCGACAGGACAGCCCCTCCACATCGCAACCATGGCAGCGCGCAACTGGCTCCTTCACTGCCCGGGCGGCCTCGTCCAAGTCGGGATCCTGCCGCGAACACGGAGGAAGCGGGCTGTTGCAACCCAACAAGACAGAGTAGGCGCAATGGATGGGCGCTGTGAGGCCCCATCCGAACCGGGGCACTGCAATGCTTCAGAGAGGGCAGATACGCGAAGGTCATGCCAAAAGACATGGGGGGAAAGAAACAGCGTGGTGCACGTGTACGCCCTCCTTGTTGCCTGGCCCTCTTTCTGCATGCAGAGCCTCCTGCGGATGCGTCTCAAGATTTCAAGAGTGAACTCTGACTGCCAGAGATTCTGGCCGACATTGGACGACTGGAAGGTCAGTTCTCGGCTGGTACTGACTGTCCTTTGCCGACATGCAAAAAGCTGTCTGGATAAAAAAACAGCTGGCGCTGCACGCATAGCATGCGAATCCTGCGAAGTTGCGACAACCCATTGAAAAGTTCGAATTGCGGTTAGTGCGAGACGAATAACGAGACATGTCCGGCCACAACGATCAGATTCCTGCGTCGGCATAAGATATGACAAAACACTCGCGCTTCGACTTGTTTTCGGCCACGGGGCGTCTTTTGTATGGCGCATTCTGGGAGGAAGGGAAGCGGGAGAGAACCAGTGAGACAAACGTGAGACTACAGAATCTCACTCTCAGAACTTGCAACCGCGAGTGCCAGCAAGGGGAACAACGGGAAAAGATGAGCTGGGCCACAATGCGTGCATGCGGAGTTGCTGGCTCGACCGCTTCACATACGCCGTGAAGCGCACTACTGCAAAAATGGTACGCCACACATTCGTGTCAGCATGACCGTCTCGTGTGTTCTCTCGTGTTGTGCATGGTTACTTCCTCTACCCGGGGCTTCCCGTAGATGGTTGAATTTGGCACGGTGCACATGTAAAGCCCCTACACCAACACCGTGTCATCCTTGCTGTGGCACTTGTTTTTCGCACAACGGTCGCCTTGCACCCGAAGCTCCGAGAAGGCGCGTAACCGTGAAGACTCGAGAAAGCCACTTGAAATCTGTCATATCTCATTCCGAGACGCGGGGATCCACAAAAAATGCTGCTCGCGATCCGTTCTGGACCTATGCAACCGTTACGCGTCTCACTCAAGTCTCGACTTCAAGAGCGCGATTGGCGGGGCGAGTCGGGCGGCCGCACCGTTCTCGAACTGCCTGCCTGTCAATGCTGCGGGTCCAAGACGCCAGCCTCTGAAGACGGCTGGAACCTCTCTGGGCCTCGGGGCCCCCCCGGGGCCCTCTGGGGGCCTCCGGGATCCTCCTGGGACCCCCTCGTGGGGCCTCCTCAGACATCCGGCGTCGGAACTTTTTCCCAACGTGGCTCCCCAGAAGTCTTCCTCCCATCATTCCTCATCCCCATCAGCATTATTACCGCAACCATTATATCATCAACATCATCATCAGCAACACCACCATCACACTCACTATCAACACCACCGTCACCATTACCATCAACACCACCACCACCACCAGCATCATCAACATCACCACTATGACTAGCAGCATTTTCTTGATCGTCAGCAGCATCATCAGCATCATCATCATTATCAGCAGCATCATCATCATCACCACCACCATCATCATAACCCCATCATCATCAGCATCATCTGCATCATCGTCACCATCGTCACAATCACCATCATCATAACTCCATCATCAGCATCAGCATCAGCATCATCATCATCATCATTATTACCATAACCATCATCATCGTCGTCATCATCAGCATCAGCATCAACATCATCGCCCTCATCATCAGCAGCAGCAGCATCATGACCGTCACGTCATAGTCGTCGTCATCAGCATCACAGCAACATCAACATCACCATCACCACCACCAGCAGCATCATCATCAGCATCATCATTACCATCATCATCATCATCATCATCATCATCATCATCATCATCAGCAGCAGCAGCAGCAGCAGCAGCAGCAACATAATCATCAGCATCATCATCAGAATCAGCATCGTCCCCCTCCAACGCTTTCCTCCTCCTCCTCCTCCACATAATCCTTCTCCTCCACCTCGTCCTTCCTTATACTCCGCCGTCCCGTCCCTTTTCCTTCTTTCCCTCCTTGTCAACCTCTCACATTCTCCTTATCATCGTCCTTGACCTCGTCGTTCTCCTTTTCCTCCTCCCTCTCGACATCCCTCGCCCACGCCGTCGCATTGATCCGTCCACTGCTTCCAGTTTTCCCAGATTCCTATTCAGGCGAGCGCGCCCTCCCATCGAGAGCCCCTCTTACGATCCCTGCTTGAACGGCAAGCGGCGATGCAGCCAATGGGCTCGCGGAACCGCCTGGCCGACTGCGAAAAAGCGTGCGGACGGCGCTGCTCACACCTCTCTGCTACAGGGAATACACTGTTGCCTCCAACAGCTCCTGCCAAATTTCCGCTGGCGGAGCCGCCCTCGTGCTACTTCCGCCGACCCTGCGCCGGCGACAGCCGGAGGCGATAGGGTCCTCCTCCTCCTCCTCCTCCTCCTCCTGCCTCCTCCTCCTCCTCCTCCTCCTCCTCCTCCTCCTGCCTCCTCCTCCTCCTTCTCCTGCCTCCTGCCTCCTCCTCCTCCTCCATCCTCCTCCACCCGCTCCGCGGCGCCGCGGCGTCGCCGGGGTCATGGAAAACTCATCACTTTTGAAATCTAACGCATCCGAGCAGCAGGAGGGTCCTTCCCCGTCTGCACCGCGGCGGACAGCGCATCCCAGTCGTCCAGGTCTGCCCCCTGATGCGATGCTCCTGGCGCTGGCACGCGGCAGCCGGATGCGCTGCCCGACAGGCCCTCTTCCGTATTCCATCCCTCGACACTCCCCCCCTGGATGCGATGCTCTGACAGCGGTTGCACAAAAAGGGTCCTGCGCGAAGTGACGGAAACAGGAAGCAATATTCCGAGGTGCGCGTTGCTGGCCCTGGCGCCCTACGGGTTGCGCAGTATGGCTTGCCACTTATACAACGCCCAAGCTGTTGCGGCGCTCTCACGCTTGCGCTGGTGCCTGGTGGGCGGTGCCTTATGGACAGCACCCTTGTGGTGTCGGAAGTGCTGGGATATCCTCGCCCTCGCACCGGTGCTCTGCAGATGGTGTTCCCTGGCTGGTGCTCTGTGGTGCCTCGAGTGTTCGGACGTTCGCAGTCTGACCCCGAGGTTCTAAGTGGGAGGTGTTCGCCATGACTGGTGCCCTGTAGTGTCTTGGATGGCTCCGATGCTCGCGATCTCGTCATGGTGCTCCTATGGGTGGTGCTCTGTGGCTGGTGCCCTGTGCCTATGACGATTGCGATGGTCACGTTCTTGTCCTGGAGTCTCCTGGCGGCGTCTCTGGCGCCACCACTTGCGGGCGTCGCGCGTCAGGGAGAGAGGTCCAGATCCGTCCAAGAAATCCGCGAGAACCTTCGAAAGTCAGATGCGCCCCCAAAACAATGGTGGCACTTTTAGGACTTAGGGTTCCTAAATTCGGCTTGATCAATGGCGGGGTGGGTCCGCCGGGTCTCGCCTGGTGCCTTGTTGGTGGCCAGTCGTGGGCGCCTCCCAGACCCCCGACGTCATGATTTTTCATGACGTCGACCCCCAGAGGTTTGGACCCATTCCCCAGGACCGGTGTTTCCTCCTGAGTCGTTTTTTGACGGTCCCGAGGCCCGGTAGGGGCCCCCAGAGGGCAAAAATATGGAAAAACCTCCCATCGTGATTTTTTCATGACTCGAGGGGGTCTGGGGATGGTGCCCAGTCGGTGGCCGCTCGTGGGTGCATCGGGCGCCCCGCACGCCGGGTGGGCCCGCCGAGGTTTCGGCTGGCGCTCGGCTGGTGGCCGGTCGTGGGCGTCTCGTGGGCGCCCGGTGCGGTGGGCGGGTCGACCGGGGTTGCGCCCGGTGCCCGGTCGGTTGCCGGTCGTGGGCGTATCGTGCGCGCCCCGTGCGCCAGACGGGCCCGCCGAGGTTTCTGCTGGCGCTGGGTGAGAGGCAGGTCGTGGGCCCCCCGTGGGTGCCGTGTGCGGTGGGCGGGTCGGCCGGGGTTTCGACTGGTGCCCAGTTGGTGGTCGGTCGTGGGCGCCTCGTGGGCGCAGCGTCCGCGGGCGAGGTCCGCCGAGGTTTCACCTCTTGGCGCCTGGGCGGGGTCCGCTGTCGATTGCACAGCGCAGCTTGCACCACATAGGCTGCACCAACTAGATTGCATAACATAATTTGCATCATATTTCGACATACAGATCTATATATACACACTTTGATATCTTTCTCTCTCTCTCTCTCTCTCTCTCCTTTTTTTTGTTTATCTCTCTCTCTCTCTTTCTCTCTCTCTCTCTCTCTCTCTCTATTTCTCTCCCTCTCTCTCTCTCTCTTTATTTCTCTCTCTCTATATATATATATATATATATATCACTTTCTCTGTCTCTCGCTCTCTGATTGTATGTACACGTTCCCCAAAGAGTACCTGCACGTAGGGGTTCACACTTCTGTTCTGCGGAGCTGGACCGTGTCTTCGGTCAAGCTGCTATGTGGCCGCCGTGGCCGCCCCGACTCCGCCCCGTCGCGCCCTCGTCGCCGCCTGTCGTATGGGCCGTGTCTGCGGTCTGGCAGCTATGTGGCCGTCGCCGCTCCGTCGGCGCCTCGTCGCCGCCTGGCGCCTGGGCATGTCTCGCGGTCTGGCGGCTATGTTGTCGCCGTCGCCGACCCGTCGTCACCTCGCATTGAATGATTGCACCGCGTACATGGCACAGCAAAGTTTGCCCCGCGCAGGTTGAACCACGAAGGTTGAGCCACATAGTTTGCACACTACAGATCGCACCATGTAGATGGAACCATACATATTGCAGCGCGTGTAGTGCATCGCAGAGTTTGCACCACACTGATGGGTTCAAAAATGTTGCGTTACATGCGATGCACCAAATAAAATACGTCACCTACATTGAACAGCATAGATCGTATTATTTCGAATGCGCTACATCGGTTGCGCAACAAAGATCGCACCACATATATCATCCTTTCTACCCCCCCCCCCGGCGTTATCGGTCCCCCTTTCGGGTATGTAAATCGTATATGATTCTGACCACAAGTCCATCCTGAATATGAATTTACACTATTCCCTGGGGGCCGGGTCCCCCCTCCGGAGGTTCCCTTGTAAAAACACTATGCGGTGAAATTTCTTGTTCTAGCATGTCACTTTTTCACGAATCCCTTGCAAAAGCGGGACGAAGTACACACTCGCGCGCCATCGCGCGCGCATGCCGAAATCCTTCAAAAACCTTCGGTGCCGGAAGGACTTCGCAATCGAGTTTCCAAAAAACATACCAACACACAAGGTTTCGTAACACTGCGTCGCTAAAAAAACGTAGCGCGAGCTCTTGCGAAATCTTAAGAAAACCATTGGTTGTTCAAGATGTTCACAAAATGCTACCAAACGGGCGTCGCGCGCGCACATGTCGAAATCTGTCGAACGCCCTTGCGCGCGTGCCGTCGCGAGAATCCTCTGCAAAAAAATTGGACGAAGTGCAGACGCGCGCGTCGTCGCGCGCGTATGCCGAAAACCTTAAAAACCCATCGGTTTTGGAAGGATTTCAAAATCGTGTGTCCAAAAAACCTACAAAAAAAACCAGGTTCCGTAACACGGAGTTTCAACAACAGCGTGCGCGCGCGCGCTCTTGCGTCGTCGTCGTCGTCGTCGCCGTCCTCCCTCCTCACGCGTCGTCGTCGTCGTCGTCGCCTACGTCGTCCTCTGTCTTTCCTCGTGTTCGTCGTCGTCGTCCTCTTTGGCGTCGTGGTCGTTTCCGTCGTCGTTGTCGCCGTGGTCGTCCTTCCTCCTCCTGTCGTCGTCGTCCGTCGTCGGCGTCTCGTCGTCGTCCTCCCGTCGTCGTCGTCGTCCGTCGTCGGTCGTCGTCGTCGTCGTCGTCGTCGTCGTTGTCGTCGTCGTCTTCCCTCCTCCCTCGTCGTTGTCGTCGTCGGCGTCGCCGTCCTTCCTCCTTCTTCGTCGTTCGCGTCGTCGCCGTCCTCCCTCCTCCCTCGTCGTTGTCGTCGTTGTCGTCGTTGTCGCCGTCGTCGTCCTTCCTCCTCCCTCGTCGTCGTCTTCGTTGGCGTCGTCGTCTTCGTCGTTATCGGCGTCGGCATCGTTGTCGTCGTCGAAGTCGTCGGAGACGTCGTCGGTGTCGTCGTAGTCGTTGTCGTCGGTGTCGTCGCAGTCGGGCTTAAGAGGTTTTGCAAACCAAGTTGCGGGTGGGTGGGTGGGATGTTTGCAAGAGCGTGGGATGTGTCACATCAAGGGTAAAAAATCAATTGCACCACTTAGAGTGCAGCACATATACTCTCCTACCTTACAGACTTGAGATTCTACCCCCATCACCCCCCCTTCAGACTTATCGGGCCGGCCTCGCACATTGGAATTTACTTCTGAAATGTCGTACGGAGCGCTGCCACGCGCTCTCGACCTCCCTCCGCGGTCCTCCACCTGGCGGCCTGGCTTCTGGAGCTCCTTGTGGGGCCACGAAACGTGTGAGGGGCGTGCCGACATGGGCGCGGGAGGCGCGCGCGAGGACGGCCGCAGGGACCTCCGGTGGAGCTCCCTGTGGGGTCGCGAAGCGTGTGAGGGCACGATCCTCGTGAGGGGTGAGCCGACATGGGCGGGTCGGACGCATGCTGGCGGCGCCACTGGCGCCTTGGGTCAAGGGCTCCCAGCTTCGCGCTTCGCGCTGCGCGAAGCGCGACTAACCTCGCGCTCTCGCGCCGCCTCCCAGGAGGGAAGAGGAGGATGAGGAGAGATCTGAGCCGAACCGAAAAGCGCGAAGCGCGAATAACTTCGCACCCTCGAGTTCGCCCTCGTTGGGCGGACCTTCCTATGAAGCCACGAACCGAGCGAGGGGTGTGCCGACGTGAGTGGCGCAGACGCGTGCGGACGTTGCCGCTGGGGCCTTCCAGTGGAGCTCTCGCGGAGGGGCTGGTGGATGCACACACGGAGAGCAGAGGGAGGGGTGGGAGGAGGAGGAGGAGGAGGAGGAGGATGAGAAGGAGGAGGAGGAGGAGGAGGAAGGAGAGGAGGACGGGAACGCGGTGCGCTGTCTCGTCGAAACGAGGGCCCAACACCACAGGACGGCTGGGAAGAACAGAAAAAAACAATCAAAAAGCCTGCGCCGGAATCGGAACCTGAACCAGAGCTGGGAAACAAAACTGCAACGGAACCGAACAAAAAAATAACAGACACACATACAATTATTTTGCTTCGAACACATTAAGCCTTTTTTTCCCGACGGCGCGCGATCGCCTCATTGGTGGAACGCTGCGCGCGGGGCCCTGTGGTCTCGGCCAGTGCGGCGGTCGGGCCGGGTGGGGAATTCCGTCGTCTCCAAGTCCAAAATCCCAGAGCTCCTGACGAAAGAAATTGAAAGAAACCCTTGGGCGAAAAAGCAAGCTTCGAACACGTGCGGTCCGAAACGGGATGGAGAGCCGCAGCCTCCTGACAGAGGAAGAAGAAGAAGAGCATCAGCAGGAGGAGCAGGAGGAGGAGACGGATGACGGAGGAGAAGGAGGGAGAGGAGAGAGGTGAGGCGGGCAGCTCCTCCCTACCTCCTCCTCCTCCCACCACCGCACAGCTGCCGCTCCTGGACTCAAAGCGGTTCAGCCGTGTTCCGTGTAGTCACGCTCTCTCATGGTATGCTCTATCATGTCCTGTTCTGTTCTCGGCGGGCTGGCGTGACGTCGTGACGCCAGGGACGTTGGATGAATCTCTTGTGGACTTCCACCTCGCTTTGCATGCTTATAGAATGCGTGCGTATGTTATGCGATGCTCAACTCTGTCACCATGCGCTTCGAGATGTGATGGTATGATCTGCTCTGTGGCACTATGTTATGGCATGAAATGATATGTCAACACATGTTATAGTATGCTATGGTTCGTGATGGTGTTGGCAACTCGGCTCAGTATAATACAGTATCATATGGTATGCTAGTATGTGTCGCTATGCGTTGCTGACGCGGCATGGTATGTTCTGTGAGGCTACCATGCTATAGCTTGATATAGTATGTTAAGGTGTGTTATGATGTGCTCGGTGTTGGTACGGTATTTTGTGCTATGTCGCATTATGTTATGCCATGTTCTGCTCTGGTATGGCATACGATTGTATGTGTGTTGCCGGCTCGGCTCTGCTTCGTATATTAAGATATGCTCTGCTTGTATATGTCGCTATGTTATGCTGCCGTGTTATGGTATGTTATGTCATGTTGTGTCCGTATACGATGCGTTATGCCAAGGTGTGTTGTAGTATGATCGCTTAGGTTATGGTATGTTGTGTTATGCAGTATTATGTTATACCATGCTCTGCTCTGGTATGTCATGTGATGTTATGTTGTCTTATGATGTGACATGACACTGATATGTTATAGTATGTATGGTATGGCATGCTCGTGTTCTGGTCTGACATGTGTTGTTGTGTCGTGTTGTGTTATGTCGTGATCGTCGTCGCTATGCTCTGCTGTCGTGGTATGATATTTGGTGCTGTGTCATGATATGATATGTTCTGTCAAAGTGTGGTATGGTATGGTCGGTTATATTATGTTATGGTGTATTATGTCGTCTGTCATGTCATGTCCTGCTCTGGTGTGTTATGTGACGTTATGGTATACTATATTGTGTCATGGCATTGCTATCTTATGTTCTGCCAAGGCCTGTCATGCATGTGTTATGTCCTGTCATGTTATGTTGTGCCATGTTGAGTTCTGTCGTGTTCGTCGTCGCTTTGCCCTGCTGTCGTGGTGTGAAATGCTATGCAATGCTACGTCAGGATAGGATATGTGATGTCCAGGTTTCTGATGCTACGCTTGGTTATGTTATGTTATGTAGTGTTAGATTGTCTTCTGTTCTGCCATGTTCTGTTCTGGCCTGTTATGTAATGTTATCGTACGCTCTACGTTGCCATGATCTTGATACGTTACGTTATGTCATGTTATGTCATTGTCTGTTCCATTATGTCATGTTGTGTTCTGTCGTGTTCGTCGACGGCGCGAGGCGGGACACCCGGGACTCCCGGGGATCGTATGGACAACTTGGTTGGGGTCTGGCGGCCGCGGTATGCAGGCTGGGGTTGGCCCAGCGCCGGGCGGAACATCCGGGAAGATAATGACAACTTGGGGTGTGGCGGCCGCGGTATGCAGGGCGGGGTTGGTCGGGGGGCCTGCCCTTGAGAGGAAACAGCCCCAACCCGTCGGGCGGGGGAAAAAAAAAAAAACACGACAGCAGAAGCGGCTGAAGACCCTGTGTTTCCATCCGCGGGCGAAGAGAACTGCCCTGTCTTCAGACCTCGGCCCCTGGGCCCCAAGTCTGAAGGGGCCCCAGGACACACACACACAAATAAACACACAAATAACAGGATTCCCCATATTTTCCCCATATTTGGGGTTTTTTGTCTTCCCCCCCACTTCCCATATTTTCCCATATTTTCTGGGGAATCGCCGATTCATTGTGTCTGTGTGTTTTTTTCCTCCTGAGAGTCCTCGAGCCCGAGCCCGATCTTCGATCCCCGACGGCGGCGACGGCGGCGGCCCGCGGCCCGCGGCGGCGGCGCGACGGGTGCCCGAGAGGCGGAGCTCCGCGGACGGACTCCGCCAGCAGGCCCGCGGACCCGACGCCCGCGGGGCGGGCCTCGGCGCCGCCGCCGTCCATTTTCGTCCTCGTCGCCGCCGCGGCCGACCTCTGCTGAAGCCGATTGGTTTGCACAGTTTTAGCAGCCGCCCCAGTTTTGAATGGGTTGATGATTTGTCGATTGCGTTTTACCACCGGATCGCTGGGGAGCCCACGTTCTTCGGACGAGAGCCGCTCGAGCTGTTCTCGGCGGTGTCCGTCCGGACAGCGAAACTGCCCTCCCGGACGTGCCCGCGTCGAGGAGACGACGCGGCGGGAGGGCTTTGGCAGCCAGGGGCCCTCAGCAGGCCTCGGGGCCGTCGGGAAGCACGACTCCCGATGGAAAGCCGGGGCCTCCGGGGACTCCTCGGGACCCCGCACCGACAAGATCGCCGCCTCGTCCTCCTCGTCCTCCTCGTCGCCGCGGCCGTCGCTGTCGCCGTCGCTCGTCGTCGTCCGAGGCTCCATCCCGAGGTCCTGGCGCCACATATCTCTTCACAACAGGCGGCCTTGCCACGCTTTTGGGGGCCCTGGGGCCCTCACGGATCGATGCGGCTCGTTACGAGGTGGCGCCCAGGGCGCCGGGAGATCATGTTCGACGATGCTGCATGCTGTTCGTGACGTCGGATCTCAGGGGAGCCCCCCGCGGATCGGAGCTACCGGAGGCCTCCTCCGGGCCGGAGGGGCGCCCCTCGTCGCCTGCGGCTGCCGGATGGCCCCCCGCAGTTCTGGCCCGAGCGCACCCCAGTAGGCGTCCAGTTGGTGCCGCCGTCATCGTCGCCGTTCTCGTCCTCGTCGTCGTCGCGTCGTCGCCGTCGTCGTCTTCGTCGTCCTCGTCCTTTTCGTCGTCGTCGTCGTCCTCGTCCTCGTCCTCGTCCTCGTCGTCGTCGCCGGGGAAGCGCCACGAGGCCCCGGCTGCCGTGGCGAGCGCCGCCGCTCCCGCTCTGGCGGGTGACGGGTAACCAGCGGCGGCGCGCCCGGGGCCGCCTCTTCAGCTGGGGGGGGGAACTGAGGGGGCCCTCCACGGGGAGGATGTAATAATACTCAGCATCATCATCATCATCATCATCATCATCATCATCATCATCATCATCATCATCATCATCATCATCATCATCATCATCATCATCATCATCATCAGCAGCAGCAGCAGCAGCAGTAGCAGCAGCAGCATCAACCACAGCATCAGCATCAGCATCAGCATCAGCATCAGCATCAGCATCAGCATCAGCATCAGCATCAGCATCAGCATCAGCATCAGCATCATCAGCATCGTCATCAGCATCAGCATCAACAGCAACATCAGTATCAGCATAATCAGCAACATCCGCAACATCATCAGCATCATTACAGCCATCAGCTTCATCATCATCATCATCATCATCATCATCATCATCATCATCATCATCATCATCATCATCTTCATCATCATCATCATCATCATCAGCGTCATCATCATCAGTAGCATCAGCATCAGCCTCAACATCATCATCAACAATAGCAACAACAGCATCACCATCACGAGTATGTATTGTTATTGTTACTAGTGTCATCATCATCCGCGTCAGCATCATCATCATCATCATCATCATCACCATCATCATCATTATCATCATCATCATCATCATCATCATCATCATCATCATCAGCAGCAGCAGCCGCAGCAGCAGCAGTAGCAGCAGCAGCAACATCATCATATGTGATCACATGCTGATGCAGCCATCATGAGCTCAGCACCTTGCAGATCTCGCGAGATGTGGTCTAAGTATTCTCGCCGAGCATTGGAACAAGTGGGCTGGCGCGGCTTGCTTAGGCCCCCTAGCTGAGCTTCACCGAGAAAGCCGCAGTAACCACGGAAACAAATCTTCAATTGATGTTTAAGGTGGGGGTCTAGACCCTCCTACCGAACCCGCCTCCGCAATAATTCTCAACCCACCTCCCCTGCACTCCCATTCCTCTCTCCTCCCCATGATGCCCCTCCTTCCTCTTACTCAGCCCTCCTCCGCGTCCCCCATTATCCACGTTTACCCTCAATCCGTCTCAGGAGGAGGAGGAGGATGCGGAGGAGGTGGTGCAGCTGCGCGCTTGCTCCCGCGGCTCGCCCAAGGAATAGGTGGAGCTGCGGTCGCCTCTCTCCCCCACCGTTGGTCCTCAGGGGGAGGCGGGAGAGGAGCAGCGGGAGGCCTCGTCAAAATGCAGGCTCGGCCTCGTCATTTTTTGACGACCTCGTCGGGGATTTCCGAGTCCCTTGTACCCAGGTCTTACGTCCCCCTGAATCTTGGCTCCAGCGGCTGCCGGGTTCGTGTGGTGGTGGTCCACTCGTATTCCTCCCCAGCACTGCGCAGTTACATGGTCCATGTCATGGGGAACCGCGCTTCTTGCAGCCATCTCCGCGATTAGCCTTCCAGAGGCGATCCATGTAAACCCTCCCGCAAGAGTCGCGGGCGATCGGCCCTCGCCTCCGTACAGCACCGCGGCAGCCGACCACGCCACCAGGAGACGGTTTACTAGGGGTCCGGCGATAGCCCGCCCGCCCCCCGCTGCCCTCCTGGATAATCAAACCTTGTCGGTTGCGCAGGCGCAGGTCCGAGGGGGGGTACGCAGTATTAGTGCGCGCGGGCATACATGGTGCTGCCCGCAGCGAAAAAGTTAGATTATCGGCCAGCGCCGCCCCCCCGTCCCAGCGGATACCCGAGGCAATCGCCGAGAAACAAGTGGCACGCGTGCCATGGTTCTTGCACAAAACGGAGGGGGAAGGAGGAAGAGGAGAAGGAGGCGGAGGAGGAGGAGGAAGAAGAAGAGGAGACGGAGGAGGAGGAAAGGGGGGGCATAAATAAAATGGTCAGACATCACACGAAACTCTCCTCGTCAAAATCCGAGGCGCGGTCGTCAAAAAACGATGGCGAACCCGAGTCCTGGCAAACCCGGGTCTTACGCTCCCCCGAAAGATGGCGAGGAAAAGGACGGGGAGGAGAGGGAGGAAGGAAACATCAGCGAGGAGGGGAGGGCTGGAAGGGGCCCAGCGCTCGTCCAGGTTGGCGCCCCTGGTGGAGGGGGGAAAGGTGCACGGTTTCCCCCGGGGCCGTAGGCGACCCGAGAAGGAGGAGGAGGAGAAGATGGAGGAGGAGGAGGAGATGGAAGAGGAGGAAAGGAGGAGGAGGAGGAGGAGGAGGAGGAGGAGGGAGGAGGAGGAGGAGGAGGAAGAGGAGGAGGACGGGTCGCCTAAGCCCTTCGGAGAAACCCCACAGGGAAAGGTGGGGAGTTAGGGAGGAAGGCAACTCCTGCTGGCAGCGCGCATAATGGGTAGCAGGAGCGGGTGGCCCCATGGCACGGCCGGGGACTTCTTCGAAGGCGGATGCCCTCTTAGAAGCGCCTTGGTGCTTCTGAGAAGCCTTCTGAGAATCCGGGGGGCCTCCTGAGAAGCCATATGCCTTCGTAGAAGCCATCCGCTACCTGCCCCCACCGCCCGCCACGCCCCAGTAACGCCCGTCACTGCCAGAGGGTTCATCCAAGGGGCGCGTTAATATAGATGCAGATTCCACTTCTATATGTTTACAAGGCCAGGGACCCCCCTCACCAGACGAATCCCAGTACTGCCCCAAAGATGTCCAATACAGTTCCAAGACGGCCCAAGGGCGATCCAACACGGCCTCTGATGGCTGCGCGACAATTCGAGCGACCCCCAAAACGTTCAAAAAAGCCCCCGAGTAACTCCAAGAAGGTCCAAAAGGCCCCCAAAGACACCCCGAAGAGCCCCAAGAGAATGCCCAAAACGCCCAAATCGCTTTGTTCCTTCAGTATAACGAGAAGTTTTAGCAACACTCACATGTTTGTTTCCCAAGGCTCCAGAACGATTCAGGAGGACCTCCAAATCGTTCCAAAATGAATGCAGAGGCCCCCATAAAGCCCCAAGAGGGCCTCAAGACAGCCATAGAGAGCCCCACGACGGCCCAAGATAGCCCCGAGACGGGCCAAGAAAGCACCGAGACAGCCCAAGACCGCCCCAAGAAGCTCCCAAGAAAGCCCCAGGACAACCCCAAGAAACCCCTATCAGAGCCAAACGACGGCCAGAGCCCCCCGAGACACTCCACAAGGGCCCCAAAACGGTTCAAACGGCCCCACGACAGTCCAGAAGGGCCTCTAGGAAAACCCAGGAGCGCCCAATAACAGGGACTCGCCTCCCATTCCGTTCGCTCTTCCCCTTCTGTGCCCACGACTGCTCCAGAAGCTGGGACCTCAATGGGGTCGGCTGATTCGGACCTTCTAGTTGGATCCCTACACATGCGATAGTTTAAATTCTTTACCTGGGGCTGTGTGTGGATTTCCACCTATGACACGGATGGCGCTGCATCCTTGTCATGCACAAACTCACGTCTGCATGATGCTTGACTTGGTAGTCACATACGTGGTGTTGTCTGAGTTCCCAATATGGAGATGATATGTCGCTGTTCATTTGCAAGTTGCCATGCTTTTCTGATTGCCTTCGGACAGTTAGACTGCATAGCATACATGGGAAGGCGGGGTTCAGGACTGCGCCCCACCAAGCGCTGAATGAGCAACAAAAGCTTCCAGTAGAACCCAACAGACACTCAAAGACCACCAGAAGTCCCAAAAAGCACTCGCGAGATCCCCAGAAAGCCCTGCAAGGAGGAGGCCATGCAACAACATCTGAAAGGTGTAGCAGGGACGCGTTCGCTAACGACGAATGCACATGAAGGGGGAGCATAAGGGACAGGTGATAGCTAACAGCTGTATAACAACGCTGGGCTTGAACGCAACCAGGAGCCGTCGCCCTTTGGGTGTGCTCTCTCTCCTCTCCCCTCTCTCTCTCTCCTTCTTGCTCTCTCTATCTCTCTCTCCTCTCTTTCCCGCCCCCGCCTGCCGAGCTGCGCGCGCGATCCTGAGAGGCCCAGTCGGGGCAACCGAGACCAAAAACAGCAGTCTGTCGGGCGTACAGTCGGGACCTTGACGTAAGAACCCTGAAGTAAGGAACGAGGCCCCGTTTTTCCATGACTTAAACCATCGACCTCCGATCGAACCCATAAGGAAAACCTGAGGAGCAGTGTAAAACAACTAAGGAATACGCGGGAAGCCCTCCCCAACGAAAAGGGTTCCTAACATCATGGACGCCCGCCAGAATACATTTATATAATACACAAGATTTAAAAAAAAACTGGCTCGCTTCGCTTCGCCCATAAAAAATATCCTTGGTCGCATGGCGGTCAGTGGCCACTGGGATTGGGCGAGCAGCAAATGTGCGGAAGAAGGATTTGCAGAGAAGCACACGAGGGAGGTAGAGAAGGCAGAGAGAGGGGGAGAAGGGGGGCGAAGTAAAGTACGAGGACGCTGCAGAGGCGCATGGATGCGAGCAGGGATGTGGCCTGACCGGACGGGCTTGGCAGTGCTCTTTCGCCATGTCCTGCCTCCACTTCAGCGTGCGGTTTGTAGGGCTCGTCAGCCCGAGAACTTCCGGAGGACGGTGCAGGGCTCGTAGGGCTCATGGGGTCATGTAGCAGCATAGGGGAGCATGTGGCTCATGTAGCTCACAGAGGGCACATGCAGAAAGGGAGCAGTGGTGCCGCAGGATTAGAGCTGACTTGCGGCCTTGTTGGAACTCTCTTTGGCTGTCTTGGGCGTGTCTTCGGCTGTCTTGGGGCTGTCTTGGGGCCGTCTTGGGCTCATAGGGCGCATAGGGCTCATAGGGCTCGTAGGGCTCAAAGGGCTCGTAGAGCTCACTCGGCTCATAGGTCTCGTAGGGCTCACAGGGCTCATGGGGCTCATAGGGCTCGTACGGCTCATAGGGCTCATAGGGCTCATAGGGCTCGTAGGGCTCGTAGGGCGCACAGGGCTCATAGGGCCCGTAGGGCTCATATGGGCCATCAGGCTCATAGGGCTCTTGGGGCCCATAGGGCTCACAGTGCTTGCTGGGCTCATGGGGCTAATAGGGCTCGCAGGACTCGTAGGGCTCATAGGGCTCATATGGCTCAGTGGGTCCATAGGGCTCGCAGGGCTCATAGGGCTCGTAGGGCTCATGGGGCTCATGGGGCTCA